GCACACTGGATTCTCTCAGGTGGAAGGTTTTTGAAGTGTACTAGTGTTGGCCATTCCACCAATCATTCAGGAATCCCCAGCATGTGATTCCTGGAGTCATTCACAGTACCTCCCATGCACTTCTGAAGTGCAGGGCCGAGAACCACCAGCAGGAGGCGTCTTGGTTTCTCTATGCTCTTCCTTTGCTCAGCCATGGGGATAGTCTCTGGCCAGCAGCACAGCTGTTTTGAGGGTGGTGGTGGTGTGGCTTTACCTCTCCAAGTTGGGTAGCTGGGAGTCCCCGAGTACCCTAGGCTAAAGGCCCTTAGAGACTGGTCCACTCTCACCCTATGCTAAGCTGCTTGGCCCAATCTCTGTTCTCAAGACTGAGCCTTGGGGAGAATTTGTAATCAGAAATATAATCCCTGGGACTTGTGTTTCCAAGAATAGGTGCGAACAGGAGGAGGGAAGAGGAGGGGACAGGGGTCTGTTTGCTTCTCCTAAGCTGAGTCTAGCTTCAAGTCTCAGATTTCACATGAGGCAGAAATGGGGCATTTGGGGGTGTTCATTCCCAGTCAAGTGAGCTGAGACCAGTCAGCAAGACAGTGGTCAGCTACTGGATTGAGTTCCAGGTTCCTGGCTTTGGCTTTGGCTCCAAAGTGGGAGTGAACCAGCAAAAGGGAAGACTCTCTCTCTGCCTGTCTTCTGTGTCTCTCTGACTCTCAAATAAAGTAAATATTTAAAATATGTCCCCAATTGAAATTCTCTTCACTCTGCCCAAGCCTACTCAGCTCAGCCTCCGTTCTTTTTTCTTTTTTTAAGATGTTTTTATTTTCACATGGAAAAGCTGTGTTGGCTGCCATCTGCTCTGCCTTCCTGGTTCTGTGTCCACTGCATCCTCACGCCCTGTCAGTATCCACATTCTACCCAGTCCCCTCTCCATGCGGAGCTCAGACGGTGCTCTATCCATGCCTGCTAAGTTGAGGTCTAGACAGCCAGGGGCCTTTGTGGCCACATAATGTAAGCACCATGGTGCAACCTTGCATTTGCCAAGTACCAGGACTTGCATGTGGGGGCGGGGGGCAAAGTGCTTTTGCAAGACACCCCTTTCTGCCTCATCTTAGCTCTTCAGAATGTGTCTCCTCACTCCAAAGGTGATCTGCCTTCTTACCACCCCCTGCTTCCTGTTTCATCCAGGGCCCCCACAACCTGTGACAGAGCAGGGACTCCAGCTGGTGGAGAAGCAATCTGTTGGCAGATTCCTGAAGCCCCGTTTTGTCCCTGGTCTGTTTCCCTATCCTGCTGCACTTGGGCAGCAATCACGGATGGCATGCAATCCCTAGGTCTCATCCCCAACAACTTTTCTTTCTCTCTTTTCAAACTGCCTTCAGATCAAGGACCAGCACTGTGATGATCAGGATTAATCCAGCACCTATGACACCGGAATCCCACATGAGTTAGCACCCAAATGAGGTGGTAACCATTGAACTTGCGTTCAGCTCCCAGTTGCTCCACTTCCATTCCAACTTCCTGCTAATGTGCCTGGGAAAGCAGCAGATGACCCAAGTGCTTGGGCTCCTGAAACAGGCTTCTGACTCCTGGCCTCAACCTGGCCCAGCCCTGCCCACTGGAGTCGTTTGGAGAGTGAACCAATAGATGGGACAATCCCCCTCAGTCTGTATCTCTATATCTTAATTCTGCCTTTCAAATAAAATTTAAAATCATAAAAAAAAAAATTCAGACTACACCAGGCTCTTCCAGTTACTGTCAAGCCTGGTCAAGAAGCTGGGCTAGACTGAGTGGTATAAGATGTGGAGTCAAGGTCAGCTTGGGCCCCAGACAATATCATGCTCCCTGGAAGGAAGGCTCTTCCAGAAGTGGAGAAGGAAGCAATGGCTCTTCCCTCCATACCCTGGGCTGAGAGAAGTCAGACAGATCAGAATGCATCCCTTCTTCGGTCCTGAACTGGGGAAGGCAGGGAGTGGGGTGAGGGGTGGGGCACAGGGAGGGGCTGGGCCAGCAGAGCAAGGCAGCTATGCAGTCCCAGGGTAGAGGGATGGTTTGGAAGAGGATCCTAGCCAAGTGGGACCCCAGAAATACCCCAAGGGAGACCGGTCTGCAATGCTCCTCCTGGCAGGCAGACGACCATTCCTGTTGCTAGACTAACTGGGAGGCAGGGTCTGCAGCTGCTTCGTTCAGAGGTCTCTTGCCCTGACCTTGCAGGAAGTTCCTCATACTGTCAGTGGGACATCAGCCTTGATGCCTCCTCACCTGCTTAGTTGAGGTCAAGGCAGGCCAAGGCTGCTGCATCCCATGTAACACAGGTAATCAATGCCTGGAGCTGTGCAGAGCAAGCCTGCACCATGTGGCCCTTGCTAGGCTGTGGCTGTTGTCCCCAGGCCTAGCTCCAAGTCTCAGGATGGGGAGCGGGGAAGCAGAGGCTAGCATGACTGTGCCAGTAGTGGGTCTGTGCCTTTGACCCCATGAACACAGGCATCAGGACCCCCTTCTTCCATGTCTTGCTCCTGACATCTCTCCCAGGCCCTGGAAAACAGCTGTTCTTCGATCAGCATTCTCCGAGTGAGACCCTGGGGTGATGGGTGGAGGACATGAGGCCAGGATTCAGCCCACTTTGCCACTGCCTTCTCATACCAAGCCTCTCTCCCCACCATGCCACCTGGGCGTCCTTTACACCCAGGGACTCCTTTTGACATCTGGAAGGCTGGCATCATGCCCGGGGCCTGCTCCTGATGGGAACCCAGAGGTGGACATTGCGAGAGCATCCTCACCACCCTCACTGGACAGAGAAAGGCTTCAGGATCAGGACCTCAACAGACAGCACGAACCTGGGCCACCCCCTCCACCTCTGTGTTCCAGGGGCCCTCTGCTCCCATTCCTTTGCCCCCGGAGTGCTGAGGGGGGGAGGGGGTGGAGCCCAGCCCTCCCCCTGCCCACTTAACTGTCAATCTGCTGTCTGGCAGAAAAGACTTGAAGCCTCATGACAACTGTGGGCAACTTTCCCCTGCCCCGCCTCCCGCCCCTGCCCTGCCCTCTTCCCCTCTCTTTCTGTCAGGGCGCGTCTCACTCTGCTTCAAAGTCGGCCTCCCTCCCTCATTCCCTCCCTCTGTCTCTCCCGCCCTTTGTCATCTCTTGTGAGTCTCACAGCTGATAAACCCCATGCCCTGATCAGATTCCTAATGATGAGATGAGCTTTTAAGCCCCAATCCAGGTCAAGCTCTCCCATGGACTCTGTGTGTGTATACACGTGTTGGCTCTAAGGTGGCTATTGTCAACTGGCAGTTCTGGCACCCCTGGGGTCTGAGGCCTTCCCCACAAGGTGGTCCTGCCTCCTTTTCCTCTCACCATCTTAGCTAGACCAGGAACCCGTTTTGCCCACGTTCTGGAACCAGGGTGCGTCTGGGGTCAGAAGCACCTCCCTAAGCTCTGAGCTACATTCGGGCGGGTTCAGAGGGAAGATCAAAGTCCATAATTAAATGTTCAGGGCAAGTTAAGTGCTGCAAACTTCAGTGCTAAAAATACTGTATTTAGCATGCAAATTATGCCCTGACAGTTCCCGGGAGCCCGAGCCTGTGGGGGCCGCCGCCGTGTTTGTCACCACTGTTCTCAAGGTGGTAAGAACCTGGCTGCTTCGCCAGGTGGACGGATGGTTTGCCTTCAAAAAGCTGAAGGCTTGCCATCCAGGCACTTCCAAGTCGTAGCTCAGAAGGCTGGGAGTTGCGGACTGGCCAGGAGGCCAAGAGGTGGAAAATCCAGGCCGAGGCCACAGTGCCCAAACTGACCTGGTCTTCTCTGGCTTGCTCCAGACAAAAGGCATGGACCAGGAGAAAGGGACAGAGACAGAACAGAAGGAGAGCAGAGCCAGCACCTGTTTGGCTAATTTTTCCTCCTCTGCCTGGTGGGACAGACAAGCCCCTCAGAGGCATGGGTACCTGGCAATATGGGCTATACCTGACTTCCCTCTAGATGGGCCTGTCACACATCTGAATGCTGAGGACGTGGTAGCACCATCCCTTCTCCACCCAAGGGTCCTCAACAGCGGCTCTTGTCAAAGTTTTATTCATTTGGTGCATGTATAGTGATGTTACAGAGTCTTGGGGCTCAGAGCACCCCCGGCTGCCCCACCCCAAGCTGCAGCTTCCCCTCCTCCTCTCTCAGGGCAGGACTAGACCAGGCCAAATGTGGTCAGCAGTCTCTCAGATGTGGGCTCCTCTAAGGCAGAGGCAGTGGGAGAGAAGGGAAAGGAAAGAGGAAGAAGGGCCAGAAAGAACCATAGAGGAGAGTGAATGTGACAGGAGGAATCTTGAGACCATCACACCACCCAACCTGGACCCACTTGTGGGACCCAGGCTGACTCCCCTGCCTGCCACCGGCTGGCCTGCATCTGCTATGGGAATGGAGAGTGCCTGAGAGCCATCAGCAGGTGGTGGAGGATGCAGGAGCTCCTCCCCACAGACCCTTGTGGGGCCCCTCAAGGTGAGGGTTCCTTTGCATGGGTAGCTGTCTGGAGGGGGAGGAGGGACCTAAGACTTCTGGCTTGGCTTCCCTGGGGTCCATGTTGCAGCCTGGTAGTTGTACGAGTTCCCCAGGATGGAAATAGCCTGAAGCCTTGGCAAGAGTTCTTTGCTTCCCTTCTGGGGACATGAGCTATCCACGTCTTCCCAACTGCCTGCTTCAGCATAAACCCTATGCAGACCAGGCAAAACTCTGCCCCCAGAGCTTTGTCCCCAGAGCCTTGACTCTAGTCCCAGTGGCCCCAAGGGCCCAGAGCAAGATCAAGGAAGGCGGCTTCATCTTTGGTGCCGAGGGGAGGGGGCTGTGAAGGAGCTATGAGCAGCCCCTGAGCCAGAGGGTTCAGCCTAGAGGCTGGGACTGTGCCCGGCTCCCTTGCCCTACCCTGGCAGGGTAAGGGCGTGTGGGCATGGAGTAACACTTGCAGGGGCTGTCAGGGTGGGGATAAGGCCCAGCCAACTCCCCATTTCCATACCATAACCACCGCCACTACCCTGGCCTAGCTGCCCACTGGCTCAAAGCAAAGAAGCCCTGCAGCCTGGGCAGGGAGGCAGGGAGCAGGCTGCTGGGCAGGCGGGCACAGAGTCAGCAGTGTAGGATCTTCAGGAAGGCCTTGCGGAACTCGATGTTGAAGGTCGTGTAGATGATGGGGTTCACGGCGCTGTTGACGTAGCCCAGCCATGTGAAGGCGCTGTACAACACAGGCGGGATGTTGCAGTCACAGTGTATGTTCAGGATGTGGGTGATGAAGAAGGGCAGCCAGCAGATGATGAACACACCTGGGGGGTGCAGAGGAGGGCAAGGTCAGGCTGAGCCATGCCCTAAGGCCCTCGACAGGGCACCAGGGCTGCAGCTGTGTAGCAGGGGTCCTACTATAAAGGGATCCACACTGGCATTTGGCTTCATCTTGTTTGAAAGGCTGGAGGCCTTTCACCTTCATCAGTTTTACTTCCCCTGGTTGTCAAACGGAGATGAGGCCCACCTCTGAGGAGGCAGGAGAGGGGGGGATCAGCAGTTTGAACAGGTGCCCACTCTCAACCGAGTCAGAAATATAGTACACTTGCTCTATGTCCTGGCTGCCTCCAAAGCTAGAGGTAAAACACGTAAGTCTCTGGCCAGCACAGCACACACTTGTGGGCAAAGGGAGCACCAAATAGCCCTCTTGCTTGGTTCCCACAGCATCTTCAGGAAACTGAGGCTGCCTACAGTGCTGCTGTCCACCCAAGTTGGCCCAACCCAAGTTGGCCCTGTCCTTTGGCAATGAAGAATTCCAGTCCATCTAGATCTCCAAACGGTCCAGCTTGCGCTCCATTTCCTCCAGTCCCAGTGGACATGCCCCTGCCGCAGGGCCACGCTCCCTCACCTAAGATGTGTCTTGGACCTCCCTCCCACGCTGCCTGCCTGACTCAGGTGTGCTTTCTTTTCTTGAGGTTTCCTGCTCGGGTGAGTCTTGGCTTAGAGGCAGGCATGGAAGGCACCTGTAAAGGCCAGCCTGAGACCAGCAAGCCCACAGGGCAGAGCCCCTGGGAGCTGCAGCAGAAAGCTGGCTCTAATCCTGCTCTGTCATGTCCCAGCCACACAGTCATAGGAGCTGCTTCACCTGCTCGGACCACGGGCCTCAGACACAAAGTGAGAACAGGACTCCTGCCCTCCCTCATGTGTGGATAGCTGGGGGCTCCTAAAGGATCATGGGTGCTGTGTGGAAGGCAGAGTCACACTGGTCCCTCCTTTTTCAGCCAGGCACGCTCATCAGCCTATCCCCTGAGTTCTGCCTTCATTATACAGTTTTTTGAGTAGACACGACTGCTCTCTCATTTAGATCAGGGACCTCTTCTCTGGTCCCAGTGTCTTGACTGAATGCAGATGGACTGAACTTCCTAATTCCCCAAAATGTTCCATAGTAACAAAAGCCATCATGAAAACATTGCTCTGTAGTTGATAAAATGCTTTCACCAATCACCTGATGACATAACAACCCTGAGAAGTGAATGACCCTCGTCCTGGGGCAGTAGCCTAGTGGCTAAAGTTCTCACCTTGCACGCGCCGGGATCTCATATGGGCACTGGTTTGTATCCCAGCTGTTCTACTTCCCTTCCCTTCCAGCTCCCTGCTTGTGGTCTGGGAAAGCAGTCAAGGATGGCCCAAAGCCTTGGGGTCCTGTACCTGCATGGGAGACCTGAAAGAGTCTCCTGGCTCCTGGCTTTGGATCAGCTCAGACCCAGCAACTGTGGCCACTTGGGGAGTGAATCAGCGGTTGGAAGATCTTCCCTCTCTATCTCTCCTTCTCTATGTAAATCTGATTTTCCAATAAAAATAAATAAATCTTAAGGAAAAAAAAAAGTGACCCTACAGGTGGAGAGACAGCGAGAGAATGTAACCTGCCAGGGGAAACGGGGCTCTGAAGATGTGTGGGCAGAGTTGTTCAGACTGCCCGAGTTCAAATCCTAGGGACCTGCAGGGTTGAATTCCATGCCAACTGTAAACCTTGGTTTGCCTATCTGTAACATGAGCATGATTCAGAATCTCCCTGACCCGTCTGCTTGTTCATCAATGGGATCGGCCTGCGCCTCAACCTCCTAGCCATGATTAGCCAGGGCAGGGCAGGGAGTGGGTCCTGTACCTGTGGACTCTTGACCCAGCCAGGGCAGCCAGAGCTGACTCACCGAGGACGATGGCAAGCATCTGGGTGGCTTTCTTCTCCTTCTGCTGGGACAGCTTCCTGCGGCTCATAGTCTTGAGCGAGGTGCGAGTTTTGCCGTTGGGCATGGTCTGGATCTCAAAGATCTTGGCAATCTTGGGGTGGTCTTTGGCATGCCCGTTCTTCTCTGGTTTGGCGGGGCTGTCGGGGGTGCTGTGGAGGGCATGGTGGGACGGGTCGGGGAGGGTCAGTTGGTGGTGGCTGGGCGGGATGGGACTGTAACGGGTCCTCTCGGGTGGGCTGGTGCTGGAGAGCATATCCATCTCTAGCTCCTGGGCTCGGCGGGCAGCGTCCTGCACCAGGGACAGACAGCTATAAGTGAAGCCAAGCAGGCCCTCAGTCATCCCGTTGTCCTCTCCCCCTGTGGACTTCTAGCAAAATGGCTGAGCACTGGAAAGCAGGGACAGTCTCAGTACAGGACCCAGGACCCACAGCAGCCTCTGCCCACAGGGCAGTCCCTGCACCTTCTCAGAGCAGCTTCCATGCAGCTTCAACCCCTGCCAGCAATCCGGGGGGTCTCAGTACCCAAGCATGCCTCTTTCCTTACCTGAACAAAACTTCCTGAGTGCCAGCTTAGTTCATGGCGCCAAGCTGACTGCCAAGGGCAAATAACTGACATGTTGTAATAGCAGAGCGGATGTCCATGCTACCCTGCCTCTCCCTGCCTTGCTAAACCAGGGACACAGTGCTCCTGCTGGGCAGGCACCTATGCCAGCGAATGCACCTGCTTCTGTATTTGCCTAGTTATACCAAACCAGGTGCCAGGGGATGATGTGTTGGCCAGAGGACCCTGTGTCCTCCTTGCCAAGCTGCCTTGGAGGTCCCTGGCATGTCTCACTCCCACCCCTCCAGCTTCTCCCAAAGGCTCTCCTGTCTGCTACTGCGGAGATCTAAGCCTGAGTTTGGATATGTCCAGTGGTTTACCTGGGCTGCTGCCCCACCCCTGCTCCTGGCATCTGCTCCTTAGACTCCAGCCCCCTTGCAGTGTAGGTGAGGACCTTACTTCCCAAGAATATCTGGCCTGCATGTGGGAGTTTCCTGTCTACCTAGGCTGTAGGGGTAGGGAATATCTAGCCTGTGAGTTGTGTAAGATCCATGCAATCATTTAGTCTGATCCTGTCAAGGCAATCACAGGTAGGAATCAAATTCAGTAAGTCTATAGCAGGCTCATTTTCAAATTGATAACATGGTGTGTCCATGAATAATGATATAAATATTCAAATGACCCCTGGGAGAAATAGAGATGAGACACCTGCAGCTTGGGCCCTGGTGGGGGGAATGTAGGGAGGAGCTACCAGGAACCAGCCACATTGTGTCATCCTGCATCTCTGGGTACCACTTCCACTTTCACTCTGCCCCCATGTCTGACCCATTCCAGCCTTACTGGGTTCCCAGCTTCCAGCCCCAGGACCTGTTTGTTTGCAAGGCAATACATGCCAGGGGGAAGGAAAACAGGCATGTTTGGGGGATCATGCAGGTCTGGGATCAAGCACGCATGGGCTCTGTCACTAACTGCAGGCTTGGGCCAGCTACTGCTCCTCTCTGAGCCTCGGCTGCCACATCTGCATGTGCACAGAAGACTGAGGGGCTCAATGAGATATGCCTCCCAGGGCCTTGGTGAGCATTTGATGACAGGGACATGGCAGGTGTCAGAGGAATGGGAAGAGACATTATGACATTTTTGTAAAGGTTGTTATGGCCAAGTCCCCTCTCCCAACCATTTACTTCGGCTCAGGGCACCCATTTCATCTTAGAGGAGTGCAGGGCCCATAGTACATCTGTCCAGAGGTGTGTCTGGCCAGTTTGCCCTTGATTAAGACAGAGAGAAGGTGGGTGGAGCACGCCCTCTTCCTCTGCTGCTGAGCCCTTGCCCTGGCTGGAGAAAGCACTGGCTCTGTATCCCTAGCCTGCACACTTACCACTCGCCGCCTGTTCACTGGGAAACTCCCATTAGACTTCATAATAACCGTGCCAAGTGCCATGTCCTCAGGGTGAGTACAGTTGCCCTGTGGAGTGAGCCAGCACACGGGTCACACAAGGTGGGGAATGGGCAGGGCTATGAGGGGTGGGGGCATCCATGGAGAACTCAGGCTGCAGGGCAGGGGCCAGAGAGAGAAGGGGGTGGAGCCAGGGTGGGAAAGCTGGCAGTGCAACAAGACGAGGAGGGCAAACAGGCAACAAGAGGCTGGGATTTTGCTGGTGCGCCTGCTCAGGGACTGGCCACCAGCCCAGCCAGGCATGCTCACATCAAATTCTCAAAATCACCCTGGAATATCAGCATTAACAATTCTCCAGGAACAGAGGCGGAAGCGGAGGCTCAGAGAAGTTGAGCAACTTGCCCAAGGTCACTCAGTATTAAAAAAAAAAAAGGCAGTAGCAGAATTTGAACCTGACATATCTAACCCTCCTTATACTCACATGCTGTCGTCCTGAGAAGGGGGAGTGGAGGGGAGAAGTCACAAAATATTAGAGGAGGAAGTAAGGAGCTAATAGAGGAGCAGAAATGAGAAGTGGAAAAGAGTGGGTGCAGAAGAAGGTTATGTGGAGAGGCAGACAGAAAGCATGTCAAGCAAAGGAAATGGGCGGAAGGAGGGAAGCAGGGAAAGGGAGACCTAGAGGCTGGAAGCAAGGAAAAGAGAGGCCAGTAACAGAGAAGAGAGAGGAACTGGAACAGGGTGAGGGGTGAGGGATGAGGGAGGTGAGGCGGATAGAGGTCAGAGCAAGATCTGCTGGTTTCAGCCACAACGACCTCCAAGTCAAGACTGCTTCTAGAGGCAGTGCCCACCAGGGACTCCCTGCCTCATGTCCCTGGACACACTGGGCCCCAGCCTCACTCAGCCACCCCAGTTTTCACCTCACCCTTACTGTGGGTCCCAGACCCCCACCTGGGTATGGGACATGCGCCTTAGGTTGTGGGCAGGTGGGGGAGTTAGAGGCGGGGAGGGGCTGTGGGACCTTGAGCGGTGCTCTCAGGTTGGCCCTGAAGGCTCGGCTGCTGCGCTTCGTGTTGACCCTCTTGCGGCGTTTGCGCAGGACTATGTAGATCTTGATGTAGACGAGCAGGGTGACGATGAAGGGCACGTAGAAGGAGACGATGGAGGAGTAGACCACGAAGGCGGGGTTGGCGATGATGCACTCATTCTGGTCTGTGGGAAGGAGAGCCCAGCGGAGCAGAGTGGGCGTCAGTGGGAGGAGCCCCACACAGTGCCAGCCCAGCGCCAAGAGACATGACTCAAATATCAGGGCATCTGGCAGTGCCATGCAAAATACAGACAGCCGTGGCCCAGGAGCTGAACAGGCGGGCAGGTAGGTGGTGGCTTCCAAGTGTGTCCAGGACTGCTCCTGGAGACTCGGCCATTAGTCCTGACAGCTCCTGGGCACATATGTGGAATGAGCATGTTCAGAAGCAGTGACAGAAGAAAACTTCTGAGAGAGACAGCTCTTACTGTAGACCTTCTGATCTGTGGGGCAGAGGCCTGCCACCTCCCAACTCTAGGACTTAGTCCTGTTTGCCAAACTCCTGTGTGTTTTTGTATTCTTCATGTTTCCTGTGCCATTCGGGGCAGCCCAATGTTCATCCTCTGTGTGAGAGCCTTTCTAGGTCCACCTAAGCATATTCAGCCTGATTCCCATTTCCTGGGATCCCTGCCACCCATTGTCAAGGCAGAATGTTCTTCAGTGTCCCCAGAGGTACACCCATGTAGCCATCATATCCCTAACAAGAAGGAATTTCCACTGTGACAGGTGCGGCCTTGGGTCTCTTCTGTCTGAGGTGCTCTGGCTGCACCTCCCATTGGAATGGGCCTGTGCGTATTTCACCTGCTTCTTTCCAATGGTTCTGGTGGCTCAGGCTGTGTGAGTATGTGTGAGTGTGTGTGTGTGTGTGTGTGTGTGTGTGTGTGTGTGTGTGCACCTGCCTTGTTTCAATTGAATAAGCAAACTTGAGAATGGTCTGACAACCTCCTTGAGCCATTATCCTCACTCCTCAGCCAACTCCACTGTCACCCAGGCCATTGGCTTCTCTCAGGCCCAACCTGGAACAACTCTGAGATGGTCTTGGCCCAGAAGACCCAGCCTGGCCTTCATCTATATCTGTGCCAGGGACTCAGGCACCTCTGGCTTTGGCACAGAGGCAAGGACCTGGGAGTTGAGGAGAACCAATCCTGGGCAGACAAAAGCAGGACTCACCTGTTTTGTTGAGGCCGAACAGCAGTGGGCATGAGATGGTGAGGGACAGGACCCAGACAATAGCGATCATGACGGTGACTCGGCGCTTGGAGCTGTAGCGTGTGTTGTACAACATAGGCATGGCCACAGCTGTGTACCTGCGAAGGTGGCAGTCCTAAGTCCAGGGTGCAGGGCCAGGGATCCCTCACTCCGAAGTGTGCGCCAGAGATGCCCCTACTTAGAGTTGGACTGATACCCACCTCCACGGAGTCTGCCTGGCCCTCTTGCTCTCAAACTTGGGCACCAACAACAGTTGTTGATGTCCAACGAAGCACTTAGTAACTGGCCAACTTTTGTGTATTTTTGGGCCATGCTGATTCTTCTAATTCTGTCATTTTGGAGTTAAACTTGTTTAAGGGGGCCCTGGGCTGAATCTGAGAACCTGAACTGGGTTCATGCAAGGTAAAAGTGGTTATTAATGGGTTGGTAGCCAGGCCTGTAAGGACAAGAGTTAACTCCCATTGAACATGACAGGTATTGGCAAGACTTCCTCAACCCTTCTCAGTCATCGAGTGACTTCATCATCTAAGAATGTTGGGAGCCCACATGGCAGACCTGTGCAAATCAGCTAATGGCTCCAAGGGTTCGGCTTAGCCTGGTGGACAAGGCCAAGCACCCATGAGTGAACATAACCCAGTGCTACAGCCCGACAGCAGCGGTCACTGCAGCAGCTTCTGGAGCACAGAGCAGAACTCTGAGACCACTCACAGTCTGCCCATGGCCACATAAGTAGGAGGCCATGGGTCCAGGGTATTATCTGGGTATTTTCAGTAGCCTCACTGTCCACAAAAGGGTTCCCCTTAGGTAGTCAAAAGCACACACACGCTTGCATGTACATACACACACACCCCTACAGCCAGAGTTGACACACACACACACACAGCCAGAGTTGGCACAGGCAGAGGCCAACTCTAAGATTAAACAGGGCAACCAGAATGCCAAATGACCAGGGTCACCTCTTCCCCTTGGCTGGGCTCACCTGTCAATGCTGATGGCACACAGATTCAGGATGCTAGCTGTGCACATCATGACATCCAGAGTGACGAAGATGTCACAGTGAACCCTGCTGAATTTCCACTCACCCACCACCTGGGAACAAAGCAACAAAGTGGGTGACAGCAAGAGGGGGGCAATAACTGAAGTCCTATAACTAGATCTTCCTGGTCAGGTCACAGGCTCCAAGGGTGGTTGTGAGAGCCTCTCTTCTGCACTTCCAATCCAGCTCCCTGCTAAGGCTCTTGAGAAAAGCATCAGAGGATGGTCCTTGTGTTTGGGACTGTGCACCCACATGGGAGACCCAGTTGCATCTCCTGGCTCCTGGTTTTAGAGTGGCCTATCCCTGGCTGTCGTGGTTGCTTGGGGAGTAAATCAGCATATGAACAACCGCTCTTGTCTCTGTCTCTTCATCTCTCCCTCTCTGTAACTCTTTCTCAAATAAATATCTAAGTCTTTTATAAAAAAGTCTGTAGGCACCCCAATACAGCCATGTACAGTGTGGTCCCTATCCAGGTTTCTGAGTAGTATTGAGGTGCCAGGAAGCCAATGTCATCCATGCTGTGAGCACGCAACAGATCCCACTCACTCTGGGGAGAGACTGCCTCCTTACCTGGGCCTGGAAGGGGCAAGGAAGGTGAAAGTCCTCCCTGCTTGAGGGATGCAGCCTGGCTGTCATCAATGGCACACTCACCACCAGTGCACAGCTGCCCAATGCTGCTGTGTGCCAGGGACCAGCCTCGGTGCTTTTCACATAATGACCCAGGCGAGACCCAAATACTACTGTGAGGAAGCAACTAGTTTTACTCCCATTTTATAGATGATAAAACTGAGGCATGGAGAAGCTGCTCACTCTGTAGTTTTCCCCTGGCAGCCTATGGCCTAGAACCTTCTCTTAAGGGAGGGTCAAGCCCTAGGATTCCTTAGTGAGTGACCCTCACCAGGATGTGGACAGAGCCAAGGAACCTTCATACACTTTGACCCCTGGAGCAAGCAGACCCTTGACCTGCATCCCTGTGTGCTTTTATGTACCTTTGTATTTTCTGCATTTGCTTTGGGCTCCTCCTTAACATTCAGACAGGTCATTTAGCAAGTGTAGTCTGCACCTGAGAAAACCAAGGAATTGATGGAGTGGGGTCCCCTAGGGCCCATGTAGCAGTGATCTCAGACAGCACATGAGTTTCTTTGAGGGTCTGGGCACAGGGGGCCCCTGCTTTCAAGTACCTAGTCTTCCCTCCCTCAGGAGCTGCTTATTTCACACCAGCATTTCCTCTGCTTATAGCTACAAAGATTTTATATTTTCCCTGAGCGCAGCATACCATGCCCTCTTTGGCAGGGCCCTGTCTCTGCGGCATGGGTAAGGCAGTGACGCCGAGAGCTGAGTGTCTGCTTGTTTCTGATTGCTAGACACTCAGATTTCCAGGTTGGTGCCAGCCCTATACAGGGCACCCTCTGAATCTAAGCAGGGACTGAGAGAAGCCCCAGGCCGCAGGCCACTGCAATCCCCCAAGACAGCCAGCCAAGGCTCTTTGTAAGCAGTCCCACATGGGGACCTCTCTGTCAGCAGCTTCTCCCTTTGCTGTGTGGTCTGAGGGAACAAGGCAACTCCCCAGAGTCCCTATGTGCTGCTCTGAAAAGTGAGGCCAGCAGCACAGAGTCCCAGGACTACCATGTGGCTGGGCCCATGTAGCGACACTCCTGGTGCAGTGCCAGTCAGAGCAGCGGTTGTCTGCTCCCCAGTAGCCAGTCCAAGTCTGAGCCCCGAAACATTTCAGAATGAGCCCAAGCAGAGAGGGCTACAGCACAGTCCACAGCAGCCTGCACCCTGCAGCCCTGAACTTGAACACCAGACTAAGCTGTGGGAGGAGAAGATGGTTAGTGGGACACAGAGTGGCACTCCCGTTTCTGCATACTGGAGGAGAGGGAGGAGAAATGAAGATGTCAGGCCTGAGCCACAGTCAGGCCCTCCCTTTGGGGATCCTCCCCAGCCACTCCCATTTCCAGGGTGACCTCAAGACCAGCTCCAGGCCCATATGGGTCCTGTAGTCCTTGTGTGATGTGAGAGGAGTCACCTAACTTTTCTAACCACCTGGTTCATCAGCTGTAATATAGTCATTACAATGCCAGCTGCTTGGATCTGCTCTGCACATGGCCTAAGAAAATGTTGTCTGCAAAGAACTTAACACCCAGCACTCTCAAAAAACTCTCATAGAACAGCATGGTGGGGCCCAGACTTACCTCCAGGTAGACCACCCAGGGCATGACGAGCGTGGCAACGAGAAGGTCAGCCACAGCGAGGCTGACGATCAGGTAGTTGGTGGTGGTCTGCAGTGCCTTCTCACGGGACACAGCCATGCACACGAGCACGTTGCCGAAAACGATGATGAAGATGAGCAGCGTAAGCAGCATGGCGTAGTAGTTGTAGTGGGGCCTGTCCCACTTTCCCTCCGACCCGTTGAAGGGTTGGCTCCAGTTCTGCCTCTCCAGGTCATCATCGTACCAGGACAGATTGAGGGGATCCATCAGGGCAGTGGGGCCACTGGGTGACAGGGCTCTGGCCGGGAGAAATGGACATGGGATGTGAGTGTGCTCTGGTGCTAAAACCAACCCCTGGCAGGCAGCGGAGAGAACTCTCCAACCTTGGGATTTCCAAGGTTTACATCTAACAACTGTCTGGCCAGCTGCCTTTCTTCTAACCGATAGGAGCAAGGAACAAAGTTTTAATGTGCCGTAAAACAAAGGAGCTTAGAAAAGCTGATTCATTTGTTGGACACACTACTCAGGACACCACATGCTTAAACTAGCTAGGACTTTGAGCTTCTGGGGGTAGAACAGACACTTAGTTCATGCATTCAATCTTGATTCTGTACATATCTATTAAGCAACATCTTCAATAGTTCTAGAGACTTTATATATTCTGGAAGAGCAATAACCAATTTATCTGCTGAATCTATGGTTGAGAGTGGGTGGAGAGATGCATAATCTACTTTAGGCGTTTAAGGAAGGCTTCCTGGAGAAAGTGATGCTCAACGGACACCTAAAGGATGTGTAGGAATCAGCCAGATAAAGCGCTGGGAGACAGGGTCTAGACACAGGAAGCAGCTAACACAGAGAGCAGGTTTTGGAGTGAGGGACTTGAAAGAGATACAGGATAGCTAAAACACTGAAAGACTTATCAGGCAGTGATTCCAGTAGGGTGTAATAGTCAAGGTCATGTAGGGCCTTAGTAGTCATGCCAGGAGTCAGACTTGATAATCAGGGCAGCCATGAACCCCATGATCAGGTCTCCCTTTGAAAGACACAATTCTGGCTGCAGTGCAGAGAGTGGTGGGGGTAGGGGTGTTTCCTGCAGGAGGTGTCACCCAGAATGAATGACACAGAGAAACTCACCAAGTGACTGCAAGAATACAACCCAGTCCCCCAACACAGATAACCGTGCTGGGCTGGAAACTTCGGTCCCCACAGTGATGCCTGGGAAAATTAATCTGGAAGGACATTCATCGGCCAGACTGGGTCTTGCTGGCTTGGCAAGACCAATGGATGGGTGTTCTAGAAAGGCCACCGGCTGCTGTGCTGGAGAGGAGACCTCAGAGGAGCGTGAGGTTGTGGCTGCACTTGAAGTCAGGGACAATAGTTTCCAAATGGAGGCAGCAGGAAAGGAGGTAGAGAGATTTATATAGTGACAACCAAAGAGTTGATGGCACGGAACGTACTCATTGAAGGCTGCCAGGACGGGGTGAGCCTGAGGTGGGAGTGCAACAAAGGATTGGATGAAGGGAGCCTGAGATCTCTGCCTTGAACTCTAGGAGGCTGGTAGTGGTGATGCTCGCAGGGACAGGGATAAGAGGGGCACCTGAGGAGGAAACCTGAGGGGCATCTGGCACCATGAGTCTGTCTGGTGAAGACGGAAGCATGATACATGTTGACACTTAGATGGCCAGGTCTCCTATCCATGTTCTGTACAACAGAACCCAATTCTTCGGCACCCCGAGGCCCCCTGCACAAAACATGATGACTCCCAGGAACTCTACTCTCTGAATGCACTTTCAAGTCACCAACATGTGGCCACATCCAAGTCAAGAAGCAGGGCACACTGGGTGAAGGGGTCCTGGGTTCTGCCCATTTCTCCCCATCTCGCCCCTGATAAAACGCCTCATTTCAGATGCAGTGAGGTGGAACATCAGTGTGCAGCAAGCCCTGTGCTGTCAGCTTGTGATGCACTGTGTCATATCAATGCTGTGTTCCACAGATCCAACGTGCCCCTCCTCCCACTAGGAGCACACAGCAGGAGCCCTAAATGTGTGTATTGACGTCTCAGGCAGCTGGGACTGCCTGACATTCATTTACTCAATCAGACATTATTGAATTGGCTAGGAATAAAGCAGAAGGTAGTGCTCTGCTCGGGGCTTGGGCTGCCCACTCCTCCACCTGCTCCTGACCATCCCTCTCCTGTTATGTCCCTCTCCTGGTCTGGCCAGAGCATCTGTCAGTACCCTCAACTCCCTGTCTGCCCACCCCCGACTTGTTCTACACCCTACTACCAGATTTCTGTTTGAGCAGCAGGACTCAAAGCCTGCTTGTGGTGACAGCATTGGATCCTGGCAAAGGGTCTGTTAGCTCGACAAGGCTTTGTGAGTACACCACCTTGATCATTTTCTGAAGCTTGTTTTTACTATCCGTACTCTGCAAATGAGGGAAATATCTAGAAAACGCTCCCTCTCTGCTCACTCAGGCTCCCACATTCTTCAGAGCAGACTTTGCTCAGAAGCCTTCTGACTGGAGCCTCTTCCACTCTCCTCAGGCCTCCACAGCACATCCTGTGGCTCTGCCTGAAACACACCCCATTTGCATGCCCACTATTTTCAGTACAATGAAAGCTTTGAGGGTTGTAGGTGTCTTGCTCACCCCTCATCTTTTTCAGGCTCTGTGGTTTGTGGGTAGTAAGCGTTCAACAGACATTAGCTGAATTGAATCAAAGGCTGCATCCATCCAATGGAAAAGAAAACCTTTCCAGACCAAAAATGTACCTGCTAACACAGGATGAACAAATGACAAGAAAGTTATGCTGTCCAAGCACATCACGGGTGTTATGAGTGCTGCATGTTGGTCCCATATAAGCTGTTTCCTTCAACCTACAAATCTCATAATGTTCAATTTCTAATGCCAGTGCCTTAGAACATGACTATATTTTATATGAAAGGCCTTTGATTAAACAGGTACCTAAGCTGAAATGAGCCCATTGGGTAAGCCCTGGTCCAGTCTGACCAATGTCTTCTTGAAAAGAACTGGACACACACACACACACAAGTGCATGCCAGGGCAACATGCACAGAGGAAAGACCCTGTGAGGACACAAAAAGGCAGCCATCTGCAAACCAACAAGCGAATTCTCAAGAGGAATCAACTCTACTGTGCTTGATCTTGGACTTGCAGCCTGGGAGAAATAAATGTCTTTTGCCACAGTCTGTGCTATTTGGTTAATGGAACTGTGCAGATCGGCACATGCCCTGGAAGCAGATGCCCAGGAGGCAATGGGCATGCAGGGAGTTGGGGAATGCTTCCAGGACAAATGGAGAGAGAGGGTGCCTGCCCTGCAGTTCCTCCAAAGGCCTAAATTAAAGCATCAGGTTCAGGCCTTAATTCCCCTGCTAACTGCTCTCATTTACCTGAGAGCCTGAGGCTGAGCCAGGGACATGCTGTGGCCTCAAGTACATTTCTGTATCTCTTCAGCAATGGAAACTGCCACTGTGCTTCGCAGGGTTCCTGGGGGGTGGAGATTGAGTGATGTAAGTGCTCTGGGGCATCCCTACTGTCCACATTTAGCAAGCAGAGAAGGGCTATGCATGTGTGCATGGCTAGGGTGCTCAGTGAGGACTGGCACTTAAAACAGTGGGCACAATCCAGAGGGAGAATGTGAGCAGGGCAGCTCAGCGTGGGCTTGGCTGTGAGTGAGTGCTGCTTTCTCTACAGGCCAAGGGTGAGTCTCTGCATCTAAGGCCGCTGGGGGAGGCCATGAGCATTGAGTGTCCTGTTTTTCTATTGATTCTTGCTGACACTCATTGACTTTTACAGATCCAAAAAGAGTACACAGAAATGACAGAAAAATGGGAAAATCATGGGAATGCTTCCATCTCTGTGAATTCTATTAGCATTGTAGTGTGGGGCTGTCTTCTAACCATGAGGGGGCAGTCCTAGTCCCGGCCATGTCCTCAGCATCCTTCCTACAAGGGGCTGACATTTTGACAAGCTCCCACTATGCAATATAGAACTGTGACGAACCAGAATCAGCATACCCACCTCTCAGGACAAGAGAGGCGCCAGCATAGCACAGGAGCAGATCAGAAATCCTCAGTTCAAGTCCCAACTCTGACACTTGCCAGCTTTGGGGCCTGGGCCAGACTATTTCGTTTTCTAGAGCCTCCACTTCCTATGTACATAACAGGGATGCATATAGTTGTAGTAGGACATGTTGCTGGCCCAGCCTTCTTATTGAAGTTTGGCATAATGGCCTGGGATGCCACATCCTATATCAGAGTGATTGGTTCAAGTCTCAGCTACTCACCTCCTGATCTGGCTTTTTTTTTTTAATGTGTACCTGGATGGGAAGCACTTGGATACCTACTACCATAATGGGCATCTCATTTTGGCCTTTCCCAGCCATGGCTGTTGCAAAAAGTGGGGGGAGTAAACAGGCAGGTAGAATATCTGTCTCTCTCTCTTCTCCTTTCTGACTTTTAAATACATAAAAATAATTTAAAAGTTTTATAAATGACAATCAAAACAAATGAAAGAATGAAATGAAATGGGCCATTTCAGAAAGACAAAGTGAGTAGCACAGTCTGTGTATGTGCAGTCCACTAAGATCAGGTTTGTCCAGATACCTATTACACACGTGGTCTCCTATGGCCCATGCTGGAGCAGTAGGGGCTGCAGGGTTAAGAAGGGCTCCAAGAGACAGCACCTAACCCCTTGGGATGAAGTGAAAGAGAGAAAAGGCAATGTCTGGCCCTGGTCAAAGGACTGATTTATGTGATCCTAAGGACTGGGTAGCTGCTGGCCTGGAAGAGCCTAACATCTCTCCTTATCATAGACCAGAAGTACAACACTACCGATATTTCACAGGCTCTAAGACAAAAGCAACTGCACACTGCACCACAATTTATGTAGCACTAGGAGAGAAGACTGTTGCCACCCTTTGATTCAGCCTTAAGACACCCACTATAAAATACATTCTGCTTAAAGAGACAGAAAATGGGTGGGGGAGGGAGAAGAGGATGTGCACCTCGAATGGAAATGGAATTCAGTGACTTGCTAGCATTGCTCTGCTGGCCTTTTTGCAGGATTCCTAAGCAAACCGACCCATCCCAGGCGCCACCTGCTCCAGCTCCAGCCTATCCATTCCTCTTTGCTGAATGCCTCCAGCTGCACGGGTGGCTAGGCTCCAAGCGGAGCAGCGCCACAGGGCATAAGGAAAGAGTCAGACTGGAGGACCCTTCAGATCCCTGCTCTGGCCCTGCCCCTTCAGCATCCTATCCTGGCCAGAGCTTATGTCTA